TCATCTGATTTTTCTTTGTTCCTAACACATAATTTGTCTAGGGGAGATTTGCTGTGATGAGCTGTGCAATGGGATGTACTGTCAACACACCAGATCTCAGATCTCTTTGCCAGAAGATTCAAAGGCTAATCATCTGGACTTGGGAGGACTTTAATTCTCCACAGGAGATATGCTGATGTACCATGGCCAGGTGGAAATTGAACACAGTCAGGTTAGACTTCAGGTGCCACCAAGGCCATTGGAAACAGTAATTTCCATGTGGGAACCACAGCTGCTAATTTGTCAAGGTCATGCCTTCAAATATCATGTTAGCGCACTCCAATGAATCCTTAGCAAATGAAATCGGGCCCTTGGGCACCAGGTTCTGTATTTTAAAGCCTCCCTCATTTGGCATAACCTAAGATGGGCTTCTTCTGCTTCTTAATGGCATAGCTATCCTGTGGGCAGAGAAGAAATCCTTGCCAGCATCTTCTCCACCAGGCAGAAGTTGTTGGAAATACCAGTAAAGTGTGGGAAAATCCACCCAACAGGATGCTGCTGGAGTGAGAGCACAGCTTGTGCAGATGGAAACCACTCTAGAAGGAAGGTGACTGCCATGGGCAGCTGTTGCTCCAGCACTACTTTTTCTTCCAAGTATTTGTGTTCCAGCTAAGTTTCCCAAATTGTTTCTATTACCTTTCTTGCACCTTAAAAAACACACTTTATTTTAAGCTATTGCACCGCCAATGAAGGACTGGCTACCTGGCCTGTCTGATGATCAAATTTGGTAACAGGCTTTTGTGGACATGCCCCAAATATTTGGCTGCAGCTGAGCACTCCTATTATCGCTGCTGATTGGGGCAGTTCATCAATCCACATTCTCCTCTGGGCTTTTAGCCTGAGCTCTCCCTGAAATATTCAGGTCTGGATGAGATTTGACTTGTGCAAACTTTTGAAAATGTAACCCTTTGATTCATTTCTGATTGTAAAGTCAGAGAAAGAGCATCTTAAATCTCAATATAAATATAATCAAAAATAAAGTCTGCCTTTCTTCCCAAGTGGAGGGCACATTAAAAATAAAACAGTTCAGAACTGGATCTTGGCAATTCAAGAGTGCCTACTATTTTCTTGTGACTCTGGCAATTGCTTTCAAGGAAACCTTTTCAATACAAGAGAATACAAACTAATTTACCATTTCTGAATAAGATAAGGTTAGCTGTTTTGCTGAAACAAACCAGTGTTTATTAACAGAGCTCAACTGCTGTGTTATATCAGGACTAGTAAACATGAGGTATGATACCATTGATTACCTGAATGTATGTGGGTGCTTAGCACAAGTGCTGAGTGACTGGTGGAAAACTTGATTTGTTAAGCAAATGGCTTGAATAAATGAAACAACTGGGTGATCTAGCAAGCACTCTGTCATTTTAGTTATCTTTTATTACATTTCTAGTCATTTATTTAGAGCCTTGGTTTTTTTCTGTTTTTCAGAACATCCAAAAAACAGTGATATTTGTTAAATTTATGGGCATTACTAAGAGTTACCGAGAACATACAATCTGCCTCTTGGTTATATGGTCACATGGAGTCTGTAAATCCCAGCAAATCAGGCTGCAGGGTTGGGACCACCCACCTACATGGTATCAGTGACATTCAGTGGCAGTGCCTAACCAGTGAAGGTCTATCTTACCTTTTTTTAAGACTGCAGTACGAATTAGGAAATCTGTACTGTCAAAATTAAAGGCTCAATAAAATTTCTGCTACTGTTTCTTAGCCATCCATACAGGTATGCAGAAATGCAAGTAAAAATTGTGACCTTGTAGAAAGGATGCCTCTTACAGATTTGACTATGGCTGTGCAGTAACTTTACTCTTAAAAGATCATCAAGAAACTTCCCCCCTCTCACTGAAATAAACTTTTGTCACTAAATGAAATAATCCTGACTTGCATATGCTACCCAAAGCCAGGTTTAGTTTTATGTCCCTAATACATCATAAGTAACAACCTTTCTCCCGTCTCTTATAAAGTTTGCCAGTTTTCTTTTATAGCTTTGTACTCAAGACATGGTCATAAATTTGAATTCCAAGCCATTTGCTCCAGTGATCTTTTTAACATTAACAAAAGAGTAGCAAGGAGAGAAACAAAATAAAAGAAACAAAACAAGCAATGCAAAATAAAAGGACTCTAATGAAAGCAGTAACTTACTGTAGCTACTTTCACTATCGCTGGCATTAGAAGAAACATGTTCTGCAAGAACAGTACAGCAAATTAAAGAACATAACCAAGCACCACAGAGCTGCAGAAACTTAAAAGAACTGCCACAGTCATGCAAAGGTAGTTATGCAAAGCAGAAATAAAAGCTGTGCAGTGACATCACCTGAAAATGCTCAGATATTTTAAAGAGATAAAATGAAAGCTTTCTCTCTTGTGGCATTTCAGAAAGAGACTGTATGTATTAGCTACTGATATGTGCCATGGCAAAACTATGTCTCTTTGTGATAGACAGTAAATGACATCTCTGATAACTTCATTTCAATGTATATTATGATCAACTTGGATCTCACTTGATGTCTTGAGCAATTTATTGAAATCCACGTGTCTGCTCATATTCTGCACTATCAGTGATGTGCATCATTAATGCATTGAAACTATTCCTGCTAAACTTCTAGCCTGTGTCTGTCTTTAATCACTATGCACTATCCCAAAGGACTGTGCACAGTGATTAACAGATTAACATGACAGTTATTTTGGTATGAAATATTGTAACTGTATCTATTCTATCCTGTCCAAAAGGGGGAAAAAACAAAAAAGACAAAGCCAATGAAAAAACTAAGGAAAAAAAAGGAAGTCTTTTTCCAGACATTGTCTAGCCTCAGGATTTGAGCTGGAGTTTGAAAACCTTTAGCAGACTAGTCTGGATGGGTGAACATGAATATAAGAAATATCATGATGGGTCGGTCTTCTGGTTTGTCAAGTCAGGTGTCCTGTTTCTATAACCATGTTATTGAAAATAATTCCAAAACTGTAGTCAGCAGACTATTTATGGATAGTAAGATCATGCTATATGCTCTCCAGGAGGTCTGCAGGACCACATTAAACAGTTTTTTTTTCTGGTAGAAAGGCTGATTACTTTGCACCTGAAAGATCATTTGGCAGTTGAAACTTTTCAGCTGGCCCAGCACATTTAGAAGCCAATGGCATAATGGCTGTACATCTGGGAGCACCCTGGGCCAATGAGAGAGACAGGAACAGTGCCAAAGTTCTCTGCAAGGTGCTGCCTTTCGTCCATGTACCAACCTAATGGCTTAGGGTTCATCGATTGGGAATGATGGGGTTACTGGAGCAGCAAAAATGAGAAGGGATGATATCTGATAAAAACAGTAATGGGAAACCTTGATCTTGGGCTTAGGAAGAAGCTTTTAAAAATTCAACTCATATTTTGAAGAAAACAGCATAATAACTTTCAGACATTTCATAGCAAGTTAACAAGGATTATCTCAAAATGTTGTGCTATACAGGACTCTGAACAGCTTTATTTATAAATAACAAATATCCTTTATAGTAAGAACTGTCATTAAAAATCATGTCTGAGTTGAAAACTAACAAAATTTGGATTGGTAGGAATGTCTAGAGGTGTACCAGTAATTTAAAACTAGGTGCAATATTAATACAGGCATTACAGCCTATGCAGTACCCCGGTGCTACTTTGTTCCATATCAATTTGCAGAATTCAAATGACTTTCAAATGGTTGGATGTTATGGACGATTCTCTTTGTAAGGACACATATTAAGGAAGGTTGTCAGATCTGAAGTATTTTACTTTTCTCTAGCAAGGAAGGATCTGCATTTGTTGCTAATGAGCTGCTATGACACTTAAATGATCACAGAATTGTTTAAATTCGGGTGGCAGTGACATTTGCTGTCTATCACTGACAAAACCAGTCTTGCAGAACTGTTCTTCCTGGTGCAAGAGATAAAGCTTTCATCTTTAAATTGTGAGCCACTGCATGGCATCAAGTTAAACCATTAAAATGTTCCTTCAACAATTCAGTCAGAAACAGAATAATCTCCAAAACTGTGTGCATGGATGTGCATTCCTGCAATTAAAAAGCACACACAAAACAGTTGGCAATGCAACATTAATACACATTTTGCTCCAATTACTTGGTGCATAAGAAAAGGAAAAACAACTGAGGAACAAGTAGCCAAATGCATGCAAGTGGCATTTTGTTTACATTATTTAGCTCTGGATACAGAATTTAATATAGCTATATATGTGGAAGTCAGCAGCAAATATTTCATTCTATACAGTTTTTCTGGTTCACATTTTGAGGAAGAAAAATTGTTTCTGAGCAATTATCTGACACATTATACACTCTGCAATGCCAAGTCTTGAGACAGTATTGCTGCATCAGAAAAAAAAAATTGATTAAGGTTGTGTGACAGAGAATAGGTTGCTAATGGTGAAAACTGGTCCAAAATTAGCTTTGGAAAATGCATGATCTTCTCTAGCCTGCAAATGACTTCTTCCATTTATAACAAATACTAATCTAAAAATTCAGCAGAGTAACAAACACTCCCATGCAAAAAGCTGAAAATGCAGAAGCAACAGCATGAGCTAATTTTCTATTGATCTCCTCAGGATGTGATCATGTTAAAATGTTTAATTTTCCCTTCAGATGGAGAGGGAGGGATTGTTGCTGAGAAGAACAGTCTAGGCAGCAAAACGCGTTCTAGGTATGCTACTCTACAGAACTGCCATGATGGGAACAATAATATACTGTCAGAAACAAAAGGTGTTATTACAAAAGAAGTGAAAGTGTCTGCTTGATACACTGTATGTTATTTAATACCGTCATGCAGAACAGAACGATTGAAACATTTGTAAGGCATTCACAGCTGGGTAACAAATAAAACTCTATCTTGTGCATGCTAGGAGTGGAGGGTCCTCAGAGAAGAAACAGAAGCCAAAACAAAACAAAACAAAAAAGGGTTTACAGTGACCATTCCTGGGAACTTACTCAGAGTCTTTGTTCCATAACCGTCGTCACCTAATCCGGGGATGTCCTGCACGGAAGTCCCCAGAGAGAGCAATGAGAAAGGAAGAACAGCCGCAGAAGAGGAAGGAAGAAGTCAGTGGAGTTGAAATGGATACTACCATGACTGACCATGTTGATTGAGCAATCTGGATCCCTGCCTTTTCTTTCTGAAACAAATTTAGACCCATTTTCTATGGAAATTCACCCAAAGAAAGAGGCAGTGACTGTGAAACGTGCCTTTTGGAGCTGTGAGGAAGAAGGAACAACCAGATAAATAAAGTTCCAGAAACTATCCTCACTGGATAAATTTAGGACAGAATTATTAAGAAAAAAAAAGTGAGTATTTGGGCTTGGAACTAGCAAATATTTTTAATAATGCTGGTTCCCTATATAATTTAAGCAAGGAATAAATGCTTGTGGTGGTACACATTCCAAGAACCATTTTAGTTCTTCAAGGTGTTAACATGGTTGCTTCCCTTAATAGTTAAACTTCTAGCGAAACTGCCAATGGAAATCAACTTGGTGAAAATCAAAGGCAAAAAAAAGATTAGATATTTTCAAAACGAATTATTTTAGTATGTGAAAGAAATAATGTTTGCCTTATTTTGAGCCAATTCTGATCTGGGAATATTTCTGAGAGACAATTTTGGATTTATGACAGGTGTCACAACAATTTTGAGGAGCCGTATTTCTGCTTCCAAAAGTTAAGGTCACTGCTTTATTCTTCTGAAAATAGTATTTCCAGAGATGGAAGGAGAAGCTGGATCCAAACTGCAGTCATACATTGGTCACAGTAGTAATACCTCTCCTGCCTGCCTATGACAGATATTTGCCTAGATGTGTGGGATACTGGCATCATGCGTGTCACCCATTTGTTGTGCTGCTGCATGTGACATCGTCTCCAAGAGGTTACTTACGTTCTGGATCACTTGTTTCCTGCTCACTCTGCTCCTTGCTCTTGTAGAATGGGAATTTTCGTGAAAAGATGAAGTTCTTTTTACGCTTGTCATTGAATGACTGTGAAGGAGAAAAGGCATGGGGCAAAAACAGGGACGTCTAATTGTTGTCACACTCATGCTGACAAAACAACTAGTTTGTAAAAGTGGAGAGAACTGTAGTGACTCAAATCGGCACAAACTAAGTGGCTGCAAAGAATCAGACGTGTGGTGAGGTCTGAAATTTGAAGGCAAAGCTCCTGAAAACTGGATCAGTTTGACTCCAGAGGTCTGAAGTCACAATGTGCAGCTCCTTACTTGGAAACTGTAGTGTTTGGCTTGTTTGGATGAAGGGCTACAGATGGTTCAGCATGCTTTGGGATCAAGGCATCCATCTTTAATCACAGCAGACTGTGCACAGAATTAATTAGCTGTCTGAAAAGAATAGGCTGTAATGTGGAAAGCAGAAGCCTTTGATTTGCTTATAGTGTGTGAATTCAGCCCTGTGTTAATTAACATTAAAATTCTTTACTAGGTGCTGTTGATTTCATAATGTCTTATTTGGCCTCATTATTGACAACTTCTTACGTGTGTTTTAATGCTTCTTTCAGGCATAATGAAAAAAAACCAACTTTGTTTTACCTTATAGATGTATATTTGTGCATTAGGTTTCACTGGATATCCTTTTAGTTCTAAGTGGTTTAGAAATGCAATTCTGCGGATAAGCAGGATTTCATTGCATGTTGATCAACATATTTTGCTGTAATTCTTCAAATCAGAAATTAATATAGAAGAAATTGGTGTTTCTTACATGATAAAAACTTTGACTTCATAAAAAGTTGCAAGGACTTACAGGACTATCCTGTGTAAAAACAGGATATGCCTACTTGGGACACTTATTTCAGAAACTAAATAAGGAAATAGGGTCCCTATAGAGTCAATTGAAAGAAGCTGGCATTCTTGAGGGCACACAGAGCTGCAGACTGATCTGTGCTGTCAGTCAGACAATGACCTATAATGTCTCTTATACTGAACATATACACAGGACTTTGCAAATGATGACTTCCAAGACAGCAGAGACCTTCTTAAATAATTTAAAGGACCAATCTCATGTGCTTGTCATTGCTCAAATTGAATATAACCAGTATTTGGCTCCAGTTCTGCAGTGGAATATATTTTGAGTCTTAGAATACAATTTCTTTCCTTACATTTTGAAATCATGAAATAAAATGTGGTTTAAAATATGCATTTCTGAAAGATGGATACTGAAAATCTGTTGAAATAGTTGCATACTCATGTCACAAAAGTTTCATACCACTTTTACATTTCAAGCATATTTAAAGTTTAGTAACTGAAAACAAAGAAAAAAATGCACACGTAGAATAAATGATCCATGAAAATCTCTCAGAGTATGTAAACATTCAATGTGAAATTAAAGTGGAGGTCATGCACAAATAATCCAGACAGCATGCAAATTCAAAACAAAGCAAGTATGAAAGAAAGCCAGAGGGGAAAAAAAAATAAGCACATGAAGGATTAAAGTAATCTATGGATGAAAGGAGGACTGACATGCTCATTACATCACTTTAATGACCTAATGGACATAATTAAATTAAAATGTGTTTTCTGTGATAATTTCTTTTACTTTTCCAAAGAAAGGAATGTAGCATGTTAACATTTCTGTTTGTGAAAATGTTGTTTATCATGATTTATCTGAATTTGACATAGTAATGCAATTGGCACTACACACTTTAAAAGGGAAAAATATATATATACAAACATTAACACCTCAAAAAGCAAGGGGGTTTTAAAATTACAATCACTTCATTACAGCACTTTGGAATTCAAGAGAACATTATCAAATTAATAAATAAATATGCTGTGTTTCACAGAAAATATGAGAAATAACACTTAGATATTGTTTCAATTTTTCTCCCAATGGTCTAGAGCAAAAACTTCAGAAAGTACATTTTCACCAGAAAAGCATATATTATTTTCCCACTTCTGCATGATATAACAGTATACACCAAATTAGACAGATATTTTATACTGTTATATAAACTTTTTCTCCCTTTGCTGTTTCAAGTACTGGGTTGCTTTTTTAATAAGATACTGTTCCATTTCAATTTGGAAGACCAAAATCTGGCAATTCACAGCAGATGACTATCATGTGCGACTATGTCACTGTATTCACACCAGTAAAAAGCTTTCTTCCTAAAATATGCTGATCTAATTATATTAATATCCATAACCAAATATGTTTATGCATGTGATAATATTTCTATAGATTAATCAACGTGTATATTCATGTTAATGACCATATATACTAGCATGGTGTAGTCAGAGGGTTTATATTTTAAATAACAAAGAAACTGTGAAATATTATAAAACATTAAAGTGGGCCTGGCTCTGCAAACTTATAGAAATAATTAGTCCTTAGTACCAACTGAATGAGCAGTTAGTTTAAGAAAACAAGTGTTTGTTTTCTTAAATTAAGTGCACGTTTCTTCACAAGGAATCAAAGACAAGAGCCTTGATTTTGGTTTTGTATGCAATATAAATGGTATCGAAGTCAGGCTGATGGTCTCCACCTTAAGGATATGAAATCCTGCTGACAACCCCAAAAAGGCTTCTTAAAGATATCATGATTTATATCTCTAATGAATAGAGAGAAGGGGCTTGGCAAAGAAAGAAGAGGGAGACTCACACAGAATAAAACAATATTTTCTATGGTACACACCATGTTAATTCCAGATTTTGCTCCATTGGTGGAAGAGTAGAGACCAACACTGAATGTGCATTTTCTTTTTTAAGAAAGATCACGTGTATGAGGATCTTTGGCTAGGTTAAACTCCAAAACTCAGATGAATTTGAGAAATTTTATTTCAGTACAATGGAAACTTTGGACCTGTCAAATACTCTGGAGCTATATGGAGCTTCTGGGAAGCATATGGAGCTTCTGGGAAGCTCTGAAATAGATGTAGGATAAATAAGACAGTTATTTGCCTACATCTCTCCACCTGATACAAAAGTTGCATGCAACTGGAATTGCAATTGTGATAGCAAGCTTAGCCTGATTCAGCATTTATGCAGGCAGAGTTTCTGAAAGTCAGTGAACAAGTGCCTGAAAATGGATTCCTTGCAAGTTGCAGGTTTTTTGCCACGATAATGTAAAAACCTGTAATGGCAAATAACTCAGGCATTTCAGTGGCAGTGAAAAACCTGTACAAGAGATTACTTGTATATGTCACTGCCATCACACAGATCACCACTAACCTAGGCAACAGCAGTAGGAGGCACTTTAAACAGACAAGTGCCTAAGACTAAAAGGCAAATGAAATTTTCAAGTTGTTTGACAACAGAACAGTGACATCATTCACAGCACTTGATCTGCAATAGAAGAGTTTCTTCTCAGAAAAAATAGGGAAAGAAAGTGTTCACTCATGCCCTGAATCCTTGTTTGATACTACTTAAGCATAGACTGTGTTTTGAAGAAGCCAACAAAAATAATTGTGATGTGCCTGGTGCACTGTTGCTTGACCAAGTATCCCCAATTGTCCCTGGTTATGTAAGCCTGGGTTACACAGACCAACCTTCCCTGGTTGTGACAGACATTAAACCACTGTGTGTTTCTGCTTCTCAAGAATCCACTTGGGTACTATTTTTGTAAGCATCAGTTTCATATTCTAAATGTTTTTCCCTAGGCTCAGCAGCCATGAGTATGTTACTCATCAGCTAATAGGGTAGTGTTTTTGAAAGGAAATTTTCATGTAATATTAAATAAACAATCCAATTTCAAAATTTTTTTCGTAGTGGTAAACATCACAAAGCACAGTAATTTGATAGTTTTACCATACTGTAATAGGCAAGGATATTGTTGTTTACTTTGAGCTTCTTCCCACAGTTTTTTTCAGAGTGTAGCTGATTCAACCCCTGCTATTTAGTGCAGATGGGATCTTGACACAGGTAGTCCTCCTTAGGCTTTGCAGAAGATCCTAAATATGTTGGGGAAAGTTTTTTTTTTTTTTTTATGGTGGTTATGATGGTTTAACAAATTTATTTTCTCAAAGTGAATAAACTTCCAACTGCTTCA